GCGGTGGCCCTGCGAGGGGCCGGGGGCGAGCCGGAGCCTGCAGGCCGGGGTCTCAGGCGCTTGGGGGCAGCTGGGGAGTTGGGGGTCGGGACCTCGGGGCCGGCTGGGGACGGAGCGAGCCGGACGGCCAAGAGCCCGGGCGGAGGGTTGAGAACAGACCGGAGGGAGGAGGTGGAGGCTGAGGCCTCTTCCTGCACGCGTGGAGAGGACAGGCCGGCTTCGGGGTTCCAGGTCCCTCTGGTTCTGGGGTTGAGGCCCAGGCCCAGCCTCCTCTTAGCTTGTTGGGGGGCTTCGGAGCCTCCCGATGACGGGGTGGCAGGAAGGAGGGGAAAGAGCCCCCGTGCTTTGGGGGCGTCGCCCACGGTGCTCCATTTCTGATCAGCGCCCAGCCGAGTAGATGGACTGGGCCACCACGTCTCCCTTCCCCCCAGGAAAAGGGACTGAGGGGTCTGCAGGGTCCTCATCTGCCCCCGGGGTGGGGGCTGCCCAGGAGCATTCGAGTGATGCCCCCTTATTCTGTCCACTGCAGGGTTCAGGCTAGCTGCAGGGTTCAGGCTACTTCCAGAGGCTGGGCTTCCCTGGTCGCAGCTTAGGGACATTCCTGAGGTGGCTGGGGAGGAGGAAGGCGCTTGAATGCACTTCCAGCCTGGCCCGAGGTCTCAGCCCCTCCTCCTCCGCGGTTTCCTGCTGGTCCCTCTGGGTTGCAGGGCCCGGATGGAGGCCAGGGGAAAATGAGGGGGCTTTGGTTCTGAGGACGTTTGACTGGGGCCACACCTTCCTGTCCTCAGATGGTTCCTGAACCGGACCCATCCCCCCTTCCTGTTCCCTCCTTTGTCTCTGGCCTTCGGGATTCCCAGCAGAGATTTTTTTTTGGTACTGACTGTGTAACAGGACACTGCTCGCAGCCCTCTGGGAGGTGGGTGGGGGGGCTGTGCTAGGAAGGCTGACCCCTGTCACCCCTGAGAGACCAGGGGTAGTTCCTCGCCCTGGCCTCGGTTTCTCCCGTGTCCAGTGAGGCAGTCGACCTCCAAGGTCCCTACAGAGGTGGACCTGTTTGTGCCTTCCGTGCCAGGGGCCCTACTCACCATCACCCCTCTGCTGGGTCCCATCCTCTTCATTCTTCTGTTTTCTTTCAGAATGAAAAAGGCAGGCATTGACCTCCCTCTGAGGCAGTTTTCAGGTACTTTAGACCCCCTCAGTGTTTGGGACCCTCTGGTGGCCCCCCATCATCTTTTCTCCCCTCCCAGTCCCAACTTAGCCCAGCAGCTGGCTGTGGCCACAGTCCTAAGTGATCCTGTATTTTCTTTGTGGTACTGTAGCTTGTCCAACTTTGGCCTGCGGGCTTGCAATTCTCAGTGGCGAGAGACGGGCTGGGCTGCGGGAGGCTGGCTTGCTTGCAGTAACTTGCTTTCCTCCATTCCTGCTGCTGGATGTAACAGGGCCGCCCTTCCCCCAGCCGCACCTCCCTTCAGAGACCCATGTGCGATGGGAAACTGAGGCCAGGAGGGTTCCTGGAGGGCCCAGGCACGTCTATGGCATCCCCCTGGGACCTGAACCCAGGCCCGCTTCCCAGGCTGGAAGCTCCCCTCTGCCGGCCGGTGGAGATAATTCAGCTTCCCGCTTGCCACGTCACCAGCGCTGCCTGAGGATTCCCAAACTAGTCATTTGGAGCTGGCTTGAGAAGCCTCTCCCAGCCTTTGAGGTTCTGGCTGGCTGGGCGTGGGGGCTGTCAAGATGGTGGCTGCCACGTGTCAGGGCTGGGAGCTGGCTTTTCAGCTGACTCTCATGGAGGGGCACGCTGGTGGTCTCTGCAGCGGTCTGAACTCTAGCACCAGTGGTCTGGATCAGAGGTGGCCTTTGAGTAGAGTGGCCATATGTTGTCTTGGCATAACAACTAGTGCCCGTTTTGCTCTCATGGGTGTTCTTATTTGTACAATAAATGATATGGTCACTCTGCCTTTGAGGCTCCAGCCCTGGTGGGGAAGGAGCCAGGAATGGGAGACAGGTGACCTGGGGTCTAGTTGGGGCCCAAGATACCCCCCCCCGCATTTGCACTTTAGGGGGACATTCAGATCTCTCCTGTGCCCATGCCACCCGAGGCACTGGTGGCTCTCAGTGGCCCTCCTTCCTCTCCCTACCTCCCTTCCCTGGGGCCCTTTGCCTCTTGGGTCTGCAGCCCAGGGAGGGGGACCTGCCTGGGTTTTCAGGATAGCAGCAGTAGAATCTTCCCAGAAATCCAGTGCTCCCAAAGGCAGCCAAAGTCCCGAGGGTCTTCCAGGATGACCACGAGATGGGATCCACCAGTGGGATCCCAGCCCTGCTCCAGGGTGTCTTCTGACCCTTTCCTTGGCCTGATGAGTCCTCTCCCTCCAGTCCTGCTGTGGGGATGGGGGTGGGGTGTGTTGGGGGGAATGACCCGAAGGGAGAGAGGGACTGTCCTGATTGGGAGCCCTAGAGAGGGGAGTAGGGCTTGTCCTGAGGCCACTTCTGGGGCTCGGGGATGTGCCTGAGGGCAACACATGAAGCAGAAAGCCTGTGTGACAGTTGCTGTCAGATGGGAGGACAAAATGGAGTCTTATGTCTCCAGCATCCCTGGAGGCTGAAAACACACCTGGCCAACCTCTGGCGATGGGGGAGGGAATCAGTGCTTCACTGAGTTGTGACTCACCCCTTTCCCTAGTGTCCTGTCCTGGCTACAATGTCAGGAAGACCTGCCCCTTCTGGGTTTCCAAAGGAGTTGGTCCCGGGAGCTTTTGTCCTGGGGATTCCGCCTCTGGTCCAGGGGCTGTGGGCAGATGGGCATAACAAGCCCTTGCCCAGATAGAGGCCTTGGAAACCTAGGTGCTGCAGCTTGGAGAGGGGGAACTGAGGCTGACTGGAGACACACACACACACACACACACACACACACACACACACACCTCAAGGTCACCTTGGGGCAGCAGAGTGGCGGGCTTCACATTTAATGAGTGAACCGAACAGTGACTCATTAACATCCCAGAGCAGAATGAAAGGCATGGGGGTGGGGCAGCCCTCCAGCTTTGTCTCTCAAGACATCCTTTGCCCAGACACCTGGGCTTTCCCTAGACCTTCAACCCAGCTGCTGCTTTTTCTCAATGGAAACCCCCCCCCCCAGGATCTTGTGGGATCAGGGTTGACCTCTGTATAAACTGATGAGGACCCCAGGTCAGGCCAAGTGGCCCTGTTCATTCGGCAATAACTGAGGCCTGCTGTGGGCTGTGGGGATACCAGCCTGGCGAGGCTTCCTGTCCTGGAGGTCCCAGCCCACCTAGGAGCAGAAGCAGGTACATAGTAGACACATACATGAGTGGAAGCATTGGATGGCCCATGCAGGAAATCAGTAGGAATGTCAGAGAAGGCCTATGAGACTGGCATCCCGAGTCAGGTCTGGGCTTCCTGGACTGGGCTCTCTTGTTCCCATCTCTGGGGAACTTGGTGGCAGCTAGACGGCTAGGGGTGGCTGTTGGGGAGGAAGGCCTTGGGCTTCAGGGCCACCCTCTCTGCAGCCCTCACAGGTCCATCAAGGTGCACGCAACCCACCTCCCAGCTATGCGCTCCTTCCTGCTCTTCTGCCTTCTGGCCTCGGCTCTGGCGGCCGAGGTGAAGAAACCCTCAACCTTGGCCGCCCCTGGCACTGCGGAGAAGCTGAGCCCCAAGGCGGCCACGCTGGCGGAGCGCAGCGCCAACCTGGCCTTCAGCCTGTACCAGGCCATGGCCAAGGATCAGGCGATGGAGAACATCCTGGTGTCACCTGTTGTGGTGGCCTCGTCATTGGGGCTTGTGTCGCTGGGTGGTAAGGCGGCCACGGCGTCGCAGGCCAAGGCGGTGCTGAGCGCTGAGCAGCTGCGCGACGAGGAGGTGCACGCTGGCCTGGGTGAGCTGCTGCGCTCGCTGAGCAACTCCACGGCCCGCAACATGACCTGGAAGCTGGGCAGCCGCTTGTATGGGCCCAGCTCCGTGAGCTTCGCTGACGACTTCGTGCGCAGCAGCAAGCAACACTACAACTGTGAGCACTCCAAGATCAACTTCCGTGACAAGCGCAGTGCCCTGCAGTCCATCAACGAGTGGGCTGCGCAGACCACCGATGGCAAGCTGCCCGAGGTCACCAAGGACGTGGAGCGCACCGATGGAGCCCTGCTAGTCAACGCCATGTTCTTCAAGCGTGAGTCCTTCTCCTCCTCCTCCTTCCTGGAGTCCCCTACCAGAGTTAGGACAGGTTCCCTGCACTGTGTTCTTCACTGCTTTCATTTCTGCTCAGAACAACCCGTGGAAGCAGGACTGTTACTCAACTCTCTTATTTTTCTTTTTCTTTTTTTGAGTTGGAGTCTCACTCTGTCGCCCAGGCTGGAATGTCGTGGCATGCTCATGGCCACTGCAGCCTCAGCCTGCTGGGCTCAGCCTTCCAAGTAGCTGGAACTATAGGCATGGGCCACCACGCCCGGCTAATTTTATGACTTGTTGTAGAGATAAGGTCTCACCAAGTTGCCCAGGTTGGTCTTAAACCCTGGACTCAGGCAATCCTCTCACCTCAGCCTCCCTAAGTGCTCGGATTATAGGCTTAAGCCACCGCACCTGGCCTTACTTTTTTTTTTTTTTTGAGTTGGAGTCTCACTCTGTCACCCAGACTGGAGTGCAGTGGCCGAGTGGCCACTGCTGCCTCAACCTGCTGGGCTCTGGCGATCCTTCCGCCTCAGCCTTCCAAGTAGCTGAAACTACAGGTGCGCGCTACCACGCCTAGCTAATTTTTGATTTATTGTAGAGATGAGGTCTCGCCAAGTTACCCAGGCAGGTCTCGAACCAGCAGGCTCAGGCAATTCACTCACCTCAGCCTCCCAAAGCACTGGGATTACAGGCTGAGCCACCGAGCCTGGCCTGGCCTTCTTTTAAATTTATTTTTTAATTTTTTTTTTGAGTTGGAGTCTCACTCTGTCACCCAGACTGGAGTGTAGTGTCTGCTCCCGGCCACTGCAGCCTCGACCTGCTGGGCTCTGGCGATCCTTCCGCCTCAGCCTTCCAAATAGCAGGAATTACAGGCACGCGCCACCACGCCCGGCTGATTTTTTTATTTATTGTAGAGATGAGGTCTCACCAAGTTGCCCAGGCGGGTCTTGAACCCGCGGGCTCAGGCAATCCACTCACCTCAGCCTCCCAAAGCTTGGGATTACAGGCTGAGCCACCCAGCCTGGCTTTTAAATTTATTTTTGAGTCAGGGTCCCACTCTGTCACCTAGGTGGGAGTACAGTGGCATGATCACAGCCCACGGCAATGCCTCCTGGGCTCAGGCGATCCTTCTGCCTCAGCCTCTTGAGTAGCTGAGATTACAGATGCATGCCACCATGCCCAGCTAAGTTTTTTAATGTTTTGTTTTGTAGAGACGAAGTCTCGCTTTGTTGCATAGGTTAGTCTTGAACTCCTGGGTTCAAGCAATCCTGCCTTGACCTTCCAAAGTGCTGGGATTACTAGCATGAGCCACTGTACCTGGTCTTAACCCTTTTAAGATACCAGAAACTAGATTCAGAGCTGGGTGCGGTGGCTCACGCCTGTAATCCCAGCACTTTGGGAGGCAGAGACAAAAGGATTGCCTGAGCTCAAGGGTTTGGGACCAGCCTGGGCAACTTGGTGAGCCCTCATTTCTACAGTAAATCAAAAAATTAGCTGGGCTTGGTAGGTACACCTGTAGTTTCAGCTACTTGGAAGGCTGAGGTGGAAGGATCACCTGAGTCCAGCAGGTGGAGGCTGGGCTGGCCGTGAGCGTGCCATTGCACTTGAGCCTGGGCGACAGAGTGAGACTCCAACTCAAAAAAAGAAACTAGATTCAGAAAAGTGTAGCAACATGTCTGAAGGAATGGTATAGGGAGCTGAGCCCCCAGAGGGACTCCAGAAACTGTCCTACCAAATTTCATCAAATCAGTGCTATTCCTAGTAGGCCCTGGAGTGAGTAAAATTTATGAATCACTTCTGCCTCAGTAGTGAGCTAGAGAAAGGCCTCTAATCCTTAAAGCAACCATGTGAGCAAGCAGTGTTAGCTTCATTTCACAAGTAGGAAACTGAGGCTCAGCCAGGGGGTAGCAGAGCCAGGCCTCAGCCAGATGTGCCTGTATTCAATTAAAGATTCAGTGTGGGGTTAATGAATACTTTTGAGCACCTGTGGAGATAGCATTATGCTCACAGTTTGCACGTAAACTGTGCTCACAGTTTGCGCTGCTCACAGTATGCTCACAGTATGCTCATACTGTGCTCACAGTATGCTCACAGTTTGCACTGCAAAAATGAGGCAACCCTCACCTTACAGATGAGGCCGTGCTAGGAGAGGTGAGAAGGTCTTATATCCAGTCAGTGACTGAGCTCGGATTGGAACACAGGACTGGCTGTAAGGGCAGGACCCAGGCCACTGTCACACATTGGGGTTTTTTGGGGGTTATTTTCTGACCATGGAGACAGGACTTGCAGGCAAGAGTGAAGAGTGGTCTTGGGGCACCCCCGTCCAGGGCACAGATGCTCTCAGCTACCAAGTGGGGCAGAAAGCCCAGCTTAGCACGTGTTTCCCAAATACCCGACAAGTGCGGGGGAGGGACATGGGGGCAGCCGAGCTGAGGATGAAATCAATGCTCTGTCGTGTGGGAGCAGCCAGGTGCTGATTATAGAGAACTGCACCCTCAGGCAGCATGTCCTGGGGCCAGGACCCCCACACCCCAGAGCAGGACACGTGGTCTCTGTGTGCTGGGTGCTCAGGGGGAGATGGCTACAGCCGGGCCCCCAAAGGATGGAGCAAAGGCCTGGCCTGTGGCAGGGACAAGTCTGGGGTGTGCAGCTGGGGTGGTCATGGCTGTGATTGTGTCCCAGGGGTCTTGTGTCTCTGACCCTGCATTCTTTCCCCACTGCAGCACACTGGGACGAGAAATTCCACCACAAGATGGTGGACAACCGTGGCTTCATGGTGACTCGTTCCTATACCGTGGGTGTCATGATGATGCACCGGACAGGTAGGTGCCTTGCAGAGCAGGGGGTCAAGGTGGGGTGGCGTCCGAGGGTGCCTGGGGTCTGGCCTTCCCTCAACCCCGCAGCGTGCCCAGTGCCCTCCCTGATCCTCTCCCAGGCCTCTACAACTACTACGACGACGAGAAGGAAAAGCTGCAGATTGTGGAGATGCCCCTGGCCCACAAGCTCTCCAGCCTCATCATCCTCATGCCCCACCACGTGGAGCCCCTCGAGCGCCTTGAGAAGTTGCTGACCAAGGAGCAGCTGAAGACCTGGATGGGAAAAATGCAGAAGAAGGCTGTCGCCATCTCCCTGCCCAAGGGTGTGGTGGAGGTGACCCACGACCTGCAGGTAAGGGGTGGCCCCACTTGGGGTCCTGGAGGGCTTAAAGGAGGGGAAGATGCTCAGGGCACCCGCTCACCAGTTGGGCAGGTCTGTCCTGGGCTCCCTGGGTGTTCAGGAGGTGCTGGGCCCTGCCCTTGGGAAAATGATGCTAACACCAGCAGCTAAATAGAACTGAATGTTTGCTGGATGCCAGGCACTCTTCTAAGTACTTTATGTGTATTAAGCTCTTTTAATCCTTGAAACAGCTTTAATAGGTAGGACTATGAACTTCTCTTACAGATGAGGGAACTGAGGCTCAGAAAGGTTAAGTAACTTGTCCAAAGTCACACAGTCAGTAATTCAGACATCTGGTACCAGAGCCAGCCCTTAGTCACTGTGCTGCCTCTGAGATCTGGGGTGCCCCAGTTACAGACTGTTCAAGCTGGAGGGTTACACCCACCATGCAGTAATAAGACTCGTAGCCGTGGGTCACCTACAATGGCCAGAAAGTTAACACACATGTTCCAGATTCTTTCCTCCTCACGACCACCCTGGGTGGTGGGCAGAAGCTTGGAGAAAAGCAGTGACGCTGTAAGTCCCTCTGGCCCATGAGTGGTGAAGTTGGAATTAGACCACAAGGTGAAAATCTGCGGCGGGCTCTGTCAATCATGAGAGAAAGATTTTTGACTTGCACAAAAGAGGAAGCTGTCATGTGGTTCTTACTTTGGATGCCAGAAATGGCTCCTTGGCAGGCTTCTCACCCAGGGTCCATCAGGCTTACTGTCAAGAGGGCTTGGGGAAGGAGGCTTGAGGTGAAATGGAACCTAGGCTCCCAACCAGAGGTGGGTGGAGCTTGTACTGGTCTGTACCGTAGACTCTGGGAGTTTCTGGAAAGAACCATCACTGCCTTCTTCCTGACCTGGCCTTGATTCTTCCTGAGGCCCTTCTCCAGGGTCCACTGTCCAGCTCCCTTCTCCCTTTATTTCTCCCATGTCGTCTTGGAGCCCTTGGTAGAGACACCACCCTCCAGTCCACGGGTTAGATTGGGAGGGAAGCGCGAGCTGGATGACTTGCTCAAGGTCATTGGGACTAGACTGACTGCGCCTACTTACAAGGGCTATTTCAGGGCCCCTGAGTCTCCGGATCCAGGCCTAGGGCCCTTTTACCCATACCAGGGAAATAGAGACCTCCTTGCTGAAGCCTGGGCCCTGAGGTTGCTGTTCACTCAGCCAACGGGTCTCTCCTAACATCTCTGCACTGGGAGTCAGGGAGAGTCCTGGACATGGGCCCTACCCTGGGATTCCTGAGCCAGGTGGGAGAGACAGGACCAGACTGATAGGGAGGGCTGGTGTGCTGAATCCTAGGGGAGGCACCACTCATCTTATGAGCCAGGGAATGCTTCCTGGAAGGAGTAGTGTCTAAAGAGTCCTAACAGGAGAGAGGACAGTCATCTAGGATGCAAGTTGTTCAGGGGGACTGTCTGGAGAACAGGGTAGAGGCTGTGGTGCAGGCCTGGGTCCCACATTCAAGAGTTTATATTTGGCATTCTAAGAAGAGATGAACATGAGGAGCCCTGAGGTATCCATCCCCAGCCCCAGGCACTGTCTCCTCACAGCCAGTGGCGATCCATCTGTGTCCACCTCCTCCCAGCACTGGATGATTTAGATTCACATCCTAGGCATCACTCTGGAAAGATTTTAAGCCCCAGAGGAATGTGGACATAGCTGGCCTGAGATCAGTGCTTCTCAAACTGGAGTATGCTGAAAACCACCTGGGGAGTTTGTTGAAAAGGATCTAGGCCCACTCTCAGAGATTCTGGTTCAGTGCGTCAGGGCTGGGGTCAGGGTCTGAGCATTTTGGATAAGCTCTTAGCTGGCGCTGACACTGTCTGAACCACACTTTGAGAAGCACTACTCACTATGGCTGGGCAGTGCCAGGGATCCATTCTGACTTGGTTTCTGAGTCTCAGCTTCCTCATGAAGGAAGCCCTTGCCGATTGCAGTAAGAATTAAAGCAGTGGTCTGAAGTGCCCAGCACCTTGCCTGGGACACACAAGGGAGCCAGGGAGGGGCTTCCTCCTCGAGGAGCCAACAAGTAGAGTGGGTGGAGGTGAGGGTGTAGGAGCCTTGTGTGCCGTGGCCTCACCTGGCACCTTCCTGGTCCCACAGAAACACCTGGCCAGGCTGGGCCTGACTGAGGCCATTGACAAGAACAAGGCCGACCTGTCGCGAATGTCAGGCAAGAAGGACCTGTACCTGGCCAGTGTGTTCCACGCCACTGCCTTCGAGTTGGATACAGACGGCAACCCCTTTGACCAGGACATCTATGGGCGTGAGGAACTGCGCAGCCCTAAATTGTTTTATGCCGACCACCCCTTCATCTTTCTGGTGCGGGACAACCAGAGCGGCTCCCTGCTGTTCATTGGGCGCCTGGTCCGACCCAAGGGCGACAAGATGCGAGACGAGTTGTAGGGCCTCGGGGTGGGCACGAGATGGCAAGAGGCAGCCCAAGGCTCCTGAGACACATGGGTGCTATTGGGGGGGG